ACAGGATGGGCAGTTTTACTTCTGGCCAAAAGTTCCTAAACGAAGATACAGAAGACAATAACCTGGATATTCCAGAACATGCGAGTCGGGAACAACTCTTGAACAGGTGCAATGAAGAGCTGGCTCACCTCCCTCCGTTAATCAAACGTTCCTTTCATACATTACATGGTCCTCCAGATTCCTCTCAGGAGGTAGGAACAGAAGATATCCCATCTTGTGGACCAGAAGCTATCCGTGTAATGCAGTGGAACATACTCTCTCAATGTAAGCTATTTTCTTTCACATTTGGAATTAGTACAAATAAGTTTGTTTGTTTTTTTCCTCTTAGAAGCCAAACAATGACTTCGTGTCAGTAAATGTGTCTTTGTGTATTGATAGGGTAGAAGTATCCAAGATAAATCTGTTTTAAGCAAGAGGGAATCCTCAATAGCCGCGGCACTTTAACTAAATTTTTTTAGGCGAGATTAGAGTAAATTAATTTACGAGACCTTGGGCGTGGTTAAATACATCAATCGAAAGGTTTTGACCTCCTGTGCCTGAAACTGTAATTAGAGCTTAAATCGGTCAAGAGATTATGTTTGTTTGTAATTAAGCGCAAAGCTACAGAAGGGCTATCTGTGCTCTGCCCACCACGGGTATCGAAACCCGGTTTCTAGCGTTGTAATTCCGCAGACATATGAGCCGTTATGCCGCGGCTAAAAATACGTACAACATTGGCCTTATTACCAGTTGTATTTCGTTTTGATTAATCAAGAGTTTATTTTAGAACAAACAAATCATTCTTGGACAGTTTAAAAAAATTAAAAATAATGTTTTTTTTTAATAAATGTCTTAAAAGTAAACAATGAAACGCAACTAGTTCCATCTGTAGTAAGCCTACTACACTTTAAACATACATATAAATATATTGTGCTAAGCCTATCTCGCGAGATAAATCAACAAAATACACATTAGAAACACTAAACAAATTAACGTCCTGGGTCCTCCCCCTGAGCGGTTTCTGAGAAATAAGCCGAACTTTTAAACTCTCCTAATCTTACTAACCTCATTTACATACTTGTCTTGTTACTTTACCACACCCATTCTGCATCAAAATAAATTTTTAGCCACTTCAGAATTTGAAACAAGCCCATTTTTTGTCTATTCAAAGATATGTTCTTGAAATCCGGGGTTAGAAACCACATCAATATGGAAACATTACCAGGAGTGGTTAATCGTTTTCCAGAAATCCACGCAACTCGATGTTCTACTTTATTTATAAACAAAATGGTACTCGCTTCAAAAGTGTGCTCGATCTAACCACTTCTCGCTATTTTGTATCTTCTACCTATTTATTATTCCTACCTTTGCTTAACTTTATTAGCTCAATATTTCACAATGTTGACCAGTCATTATTGCTCACTCTTCTGTTACATGACTCATCAGAGAGTAAGTTTTCAGATCTAACTTTAGGAGCGAGAAGGAACTAGATAAGAATGTGGAATATTTCACAATGTTGACCAGTCATTATTGCTCACTGTTCTGTTAGCAGAGTGTAAGTTTCAGATCCAACTTTAGGAACGAGAAGGAACTAGATAAGAATGTCTGTCCGGTCCTTATATTTTTGGTCCTTAATTCCTTCAATAACGTTATACTCGAACTGACTCTCTATCGCAAAAACGATCTTCTTATAGTTTTGTTATTGATTTTCTCTTTCTTAGCAAACTGTCTAATTATATCCAGGTTATATTAATCGTATAATGTTACTGAGCGAACACAGAGGGCAGCACTATAAAGACTGAAACAACGTTTTCGAACAACGTATCTTTGGATTATTATTTTAAGGGATTCTAACAACATCAAATGTTAACAGAAATTAGAAACTTCTTTGCTCTAAAAGTTAATTTTCATATTTTGATTATATTTAGACGAATCATTTAATACGTAAAGTTTTCAAAGTAAACATTGAATCCAAGAATTATATGATTTGTTTAACTCTCGCCATTTATTTAAAATAGTTTTTGATCATGACTTTGTTTTATTTAGCTCTCGGACAGAAACATGACAATTTTGTTGCTTGTCCAGAGGAAGCCCTGGATTGGAGGACACGACGCTGGAAAATGCTGGAAGAGATCCTTATTTACAAGGCGGATATCTTGTGCTTTCAGGAAGTGGATCATTTCAATTTTCTCAAAAAAACATTGGGAGCTTTAGATTTCTCCGGCACATTTTTCCCCAAACCAGATTCCCCTTGCTACTATATCAAAGGAAACAATGGCCCCGACGGTTGTGCCATTTTCTACAATACCAACAAATTTGAACTAATCAGAACTGAGACCCGGGTATTGGAGGTTTGTACCTGTCAGTCCAATCAAGTGGTCATTCTCTGCATCTTTCGTCGGAAATTGGATGGCCGCGAGTTTTGCGTGGCGACTACACATCTTAAAGCCCGCCAGGGGACACTACTTGCCACCTTAAGGAACGAGCAGGGAAAAGATCTTTTGGAATTTATCCAAGAGCACTATGACGGCAGACCAGTAGTAATTGCTGGTGACTTTAATGCCGAACCCACAGAGCCAGTATATAGAACCATGACCACGTGCCTCGAACCAAGACTGGATAGTGCCTATGCGTACTATAGTAATCGCTATGGAGAACCACCCTATACCACGTGGAAGATCCGGGAAGAAGGTGAGTTCTGCCAAACGTTGGATTACATCTTCTTTCGTAAGGACTCTCTGGAATTGGAGTCTTTACTGAATCTCCCTCGAGAAGAAGATATCGGCGAAGATCGGGCTCCTTCCTTTCGGTATCCTTCCGACCACTTCTCTCTAGTCTGCGACTTTTGCTTCAAGTGATAACCAATACGCATTCTAATATGACTAGCGGCCCTAAAAGTCACTTTACACCAGGATAGGTACAGTAGAATTCGCATTGAACTTGGGGGAAAATAAGCGATCTTTCTAATGGAATTCTAGTTGATACAACTGTTAGCTCTCTGGGTGTGTCTGTCTGTATGGCCACGGAGCATCGAACGGATGTATATTAAGAGTAAACGGATAGTTTTGTTGGTTGCTAAGGGAAACCAGATTTGAAGAACTATTTTAACGATATTAGTTTTACGGAAATGCCGTCGACATTATTATATTTTTTTTTGTCTGTTTTATTATTTCACAACATGTTGGAAGAAGTGAAATTAAGTGGTTGAATTTAAGTTCATAAATAGTCTTTATACGTGAGTGTATATATATTCATTTTTGCGCTGAATACTTGATCATATTGTTGAATGTTAATGAAACATTACTCTCAGCTCAACGTTTCTCCGAAAGTACGCGTTAAATCGATTAAATTTGACGTTATAATTACTTTGTACATTTGTCGATATTTTATTGAATTATTTATACATTTCTTCCCTACCGTTTAAACTACATAAAGCTATTCCTTTGATGGACATTGGTTGGTTTAGTTTTAAAACTCGAGTCACGTGAATTATGTCCAGAGTGTTTGAACGCCATCTGCAGTGTGAAAATACGATGCCAGGAAGTAAATGATCTAAATAATAGCAATATTTGTATCATGTGTCTGCTTCACGATTTACGCGTGTGTGTGTTTACATATATTTTCATGTGCTGTTATATTTTTTATTATTATTATTTAAGTTGTCGTTTGTTTAATAGAATAAAGCTGATCATATTGTAGATATAACTTGCGCGTGCACATACGAACACGTAGACAATTTCACGATCTCACATGAAAATATTGATCATAACACATTGATCATTTGGAATATATATATACTTTCTGTTTGTAGATGATTCATTTTAAATAAATCTTTAGTTTTTATGACCGAAAATGAAACTTGGAAGTTTGTTCTGTTTTGTTTTGTTTTGTTTTCTTTTAAAACTCCCATTTCGCTTTTTCTTTTCTTTTTCGACTATAAACTTGCAAACCAGACGCCCTCTTGCGTTACTATTTTTGAACACATTTTGTTAGTGAAGAAGTGCAACAGAAAATAATTTCATTGAAACTTTTAACACTAGTTTGTGACAGATTAACCATCAAGAACAGAAGAAAAATTATCGTGGTAACTTGAACTGTCTTATTTTTAAGTCTGTTATTCAGGCCTATAAGAATGGCTCGTTTCGACCGAGATTGGCCCGGCATGGCCAGGTGGTTAGGACGCTCGAGTCGCAATCTGCGGGTTCGCATCCCCATCCCACCAAACATGCTCGCCCCTTTTAGCAGTGAGGGCGTTATAACGTGACGGTCAATCCAACTATTTGTTGGTAAAAGAGTAGCCCAACAGTTGGCGGTGAGTGGTGATGACTAGCTGCCTTCCCTCTAGTCTTACACTGCTAAA